GGTGAAGAGAGACAGCGGATGGTGTAAGATATGAAAACAATTCTAATTTATCAAGTGGCCATGAGGGTGGGGGAGGTAGGGTAAAAAGAGGAGCTGATACCAAGGGCTCAAATAGAAAATGTTTTGAAAATGGTGATGGCAACATATGTACAAATGTGCTTGATACAATGGATGTGTGGGTTGTTGTAAGAGCTGTAAGGCCCCCAATACAATAATTTATATTGAAAAAGAAGAAGAAAAGAAATGGTCCTGGCAAAACTGGATATTTGGGGGCTTTAATACCCTATCAAACATAACTAAAAACATAACATGCAGCAGAAGACAAATTAGGTGACTGGGACCGCTTATAAATTAAGCATTTAAATATGTCCAAAAGGAGCAAAGAATGACAGAATTAGGGCCTCTTATGTTTTTAATAATACAATTTCAGTAAAAAAAAACCCTTAAAGATTATTTTCCATTTTAAGCTTTCCTTGTAAAGTGCTAAATCTCTTTTTAAATTCAATAGCAGCCCCAGATTCCATCTTTAAAATTCTTAGTTATCTATTGTAGTTGGACACTTTAAAAGCCCTGACGCTTGAGGAGTTTAAGTGTGTTTTCCTTTACGTAGATAAGTATTTGGACATACATTTTCTTATTGTCACTGAAATAGACAAGTTAAAGAGTCGGGGGGCGGGGGGGATGCAAGGCCTAAAACCGTTTCTGTCTATATTAAGGCATAACGTTTGAAGGCGTAACAGGCACACTGACTAGTTTCTCAATGGTTTGCTGTTGACAGCCAGCACCGACGATCTGACGGTGGTCCTGGAATGTGCGCGCCTAGTCGAAAGGATGTACAGCCACATTGCAGCCAAGGCAGAAGAGTTTACTGTGTTTTCCCCATTTATGGTGTCCCAATATGTGATGGAGGCTCAGAAGGTAAGCTGGTTTAAATGTCCCTCACCAACCACATGGTTTTCATCTGCACCCTTCTGTAGTAGGGTTTCTCATCCCCAGCACTACAGACCTCACTGACATCACTACAGAATTCTCACCCAGGCAGTGCTTTGTTATGGGGACTGCCTTACGCTGTGGGCTGTTCCGCACCTCCTTGCAGAACGGGATGGTGTGAAGTGGCATACAAGGGGCTCAGTAGGGCCAGGTATGTAGTATGTAGTATCACTGGTTCTTTTGTCTTCTCTAGTGCTTGCTATCCAAGGAGCTCCCTGGTC